TTAGTGACTTTTTTTAATCAATTTGTGACGAAGATCAAACATAATAGATTAATGACGCACTAATGATCATAATAAAAACTATGATGAAAAAACATGTTTTCATCATAAAACGTGGTATAACACAAATGATCTATAACAAAGTCATAAATTTCATCAGTATGATGAACTTTTAGGCGAACTCAGTCTGATTAGGTTCTTTATGGTGGAACCTGCCCATCCGGGTTCAAGTCATCGACTTGGCACGGGTGCTTGCATTTTTTCTAGAATTATTCTAGGATTTAACGGCATTATGCTTTCAGTAGTAGGTGACGTTCCTGTCGACAGTGAGGCGTCTGTGGTGACTTCATCAATCTCGAGATGTGTCGGCAGTCTTTCCGAGGTGCTCATAGGGGTAGGGTTTGCGTATGTGTGTTCGTAGGAGTGAGTGTGTGTATTGAGCGTCTGCGCTGGGCTTGTGTAATTTGCAAAAAAAAGATGAACTTTTCTAGATTTGTGACCTAAATATGTCATCGTAGATTCTTAAATTTCTTGCAGTGATTTTTTTCTCGAATACTCAAAAGATTTGTGTATCTTTGTATTAAGATCGAGAGATAGTGAAAGTTACAACGACACACCATGAACATAGCACACTAGGGGGTTAGTGTTATACAATCGGCTTTGCCCTTCCTAGCAGAAAGAGATCATGACTATTCCTCACTAATCGTGCTACCTAGCCAGCATTGGCGATCAGATGCGCTTGCTTGCACGGCGCCTCACGCGCTCTCCTTGCGAGTCAGGGAAGAGCTATCGCATTGCCTCAGCATGAGAGGAGTTGAGCTGGTTGACGCAGATACTGTCGTAGGCGTTCTGAGCTGTCATGGTCATCTGTCTGTTGCATCCCCATCCGCTTCATCCCTAGCACCTCTCCCCGCTTAGAAGCTGGGATGCGTGAAAGCGCTTGGGTGGCTATCCTCCTGCTATGGGTCAGTAGCTTTGGTTGTGCCTCCAAAGCCTCGGCTAAGGGAGCAGCGACGATGGCACCTTATGCAGGATCTTGTTAGTGAATCACTTTAGCCTCTTGGTGGCGGAGCTCCCGCCTTTAGCTGGTCGGGGGGGGGGCCGCATCCATGCATGGGGGCATGGTGCCGCCTAGGAGCATGAAAGCCCTAGTTTGGTTTTGGCTAATTGATGAAATCTAAGTACTAACCTCTGCATAAGTGTTATGCAAAATAGGTTGGTACATACCAAGTGATGGAGCATGGTGATGAAGTCCATGGAGGTGGAGATAGACATGAGATGATGGTGATCAAGCTCCAACTTGGAAAAGAAGAAAGAGAAAAACAAAAACAAGGTTGATCAAGGCAAATGTATCAAATAGGTTTTTGTTTTGGCACTCAAAACACCATAGAGGTGTGAGTGTGTTTAGGATAGATAGCCGTACTATTAAGAGGAGAAAACCTTGGTTAAAATGGTTGTCGAGTGCCACTAGGTGAAGTGATTCTTGCCTATACATTAGGACTCAATGTGCTAACAATTAACCTTGTAAAATGCTTTGAAAAATGCTAACACACATGCACAATGATGATACACAATGTATTTAGCACTTGGGAGCAAGGGTGAAGAGATAGAAGTTGATTTGGAGATGAAAAGGTCAACACACCCTGATGGCGAGGGCAACAAGACCATTGTGAGATCGTCCTGTTGGTCTGTGTTGAATAGGACCCTGGTGGAGATGGTCCTGTTGGTAGAACCGGACTCGGTCCGGTTGCTTTTAAGTTGTTTTGGACCTCTCTGTGTTGAACAGGACCCTGATGGCGCATGGTCCGGTTGGTGCTTCTTTGGGTCCGGTTGCCTCAGTCCGGTTGGTTCTAAAACCTCTATGTGTTGAACAGGACCGAGGTAAGATGGTCCTGTTGTATAGGACCCTAGTGAGTTGGTCCAGTTGTAGGAACAGGACTTGGTCTGGTTGCTTTGGGATCTATCGGGAGCTCTCTGGATTGAGCAGGACCCAGGGGTTCGATGGTCCTGTTGCTCGGTCCGGTTGCTGTTTGAGCGCATTTTTAGTGATCGTTGAGATTCGACGGCCACGGTTGAATGGAGGGACATGTGGCGGCTTCCTATGAACCAGACCCTGATGGAGATGGTCCGGACCCTGGGTCCGGTTGCCCCTGCGAGTGCATAACGGCTAGTAGATGTTTGGGACCTCTATAAATAGCTTGGGGCTGGCTCTAGCTCACTCCCTTGCACATTTTCATCAGTGATACATCCTTGTGAGCCTAAGCAAACAACTCCCACTCATCTCTATCATTGATTCATCATCAAAGTGAGATTGTGAGTGATTTCTAGTGCATTTGCTTGAGAAATTGCATCTAGTGACACTTAGGGATCGTTGTGGCTGTGGTTTTCTTGTTACTCTTGGTGGTTGCCACCACTTAGACGGCTTGAAGCAGCGGAGGAGCATTGGCATGAGTTGGTGATTGTTCGTGGTCATCTCCCGGTGATTTGTGAGGGGTTCTTGACCTTTCTCTAGCGAAGAGCCAAATTGTACTCTATTGTATTGCGCGTGTCATTGAGTTACCCTCACTTTGGGTAGGTCTTGTGAGCCACCAAGTGTATGGTCGACACAAAGGAGACTAGCGTGTTGGCAAGCACGTGAACCTCGGAAGAAAAATCTTGTGTCAATTGTATATTGGACTTCTCCTAGTATTCACTTGGGTTTTATTGTGATTGATTGATCATCTCTCTTGCCACGTGTGGTATACATCTCTCTACCTCTTGTATTTACATTTCTAGAGATATCTTGTGTAGAGGTAGTTAAGTAGCTAGTGTAGCTTAGTTGGTAATCTAGTTGTAATTAGCTAGCTCACTAGTTAGTGAAGTAGAGACATAGCCTTGTGTGTGCTTAATGATCATAGCAACTAGAATTATGGTATATGTGGCTTGCAACCCTTATAGAGCTAGAGCAAAATTTTATTTTGCCATTTAGGTTACTAATCATTTGCTCTAGTGATTTTATAGAGAATTTTTATAGGCTATTTACCTCCCTCTAGCCATTTAGGACCTTTCAGCGCGCCTTGGCATCCACGATGCCGTGCTGTCCCGCCCGAGGTGGCGTGACATGTGGCGTGGCGTGTGGCTGCTCCTACATAGGTGACGAGTCCATCGTCCACTAGGCAGCCTTTGCCAGAGAACGGGAATCCACCAGCGATGCGTCCACTTCCTGGGAGGTGACCGCCAGAGGAGGCAGGTACCCAGGAGCTGGTGCGTGCGTTGAATGGCTCATGACGAGCGAGGCGACGAGCTCTTCCAGCATTGGGTCGACCCACGCGGGAGGCCCTGCGTCACACACAGGTCCAACACCAACGGACCTGCTCGGGGAAGCAGCGTGCAACAGCAGCGAAAGCGACATTGTTGTCGTAGTCGGCAATCACACCCCTGCTGATGTCCATCGCCGGCTTACTCCACCGCTGCCACCGTCATCGTCAGTTTACATGGGAGCCCCCCGAGTACCTTGCACGGCCCCATCTGAACTCGGCGAACCATGGGGCGTGTGCTGGGAGGCCGATGGGTTGCCACCACCATCGGAGTGCTGTGGTTGGTCGCCACCCATCGCAGCCGAGGTCGCAGCATGCCTGGCCCGCTTGCATTCCTTGGCAAGGTGGCTGAAGCCATGACAGCGCAGGCAACGCCGAGGCAACCGGCAAGTCACTACTCGGTGTGAGTAGGAAAGACAGTTGAAACATCTGTTGAGAAGCTTTGCGGGGGTCTTCCGGGCCTGCAGAAGCTGCATTGGGCCATGGCAAGGCTCAGCCAAGGCGGCCGCAAGTCCCATCTCACGCCACCCATCGGCGTTGGGGGCAAAGACCCTTCCACGGTAGCTGATGCATTGGCGTTGGGTGTGGTTGGTCGGTTGCGCTTCCTCCGCCTACGGCCAGGTCCCTGTCAACCAGCGTCAGCACCACGATGGCCCACAACTGCGATGACAGGGCAAGTCTGTGCTATTGTGGTGGGTGCAGTGACCGCCTTCGCCGGGCGACGAGCAGCGTCTATGTAGGTTGTGGGGTGGTCATTGTCGGACTCCTCGCTATCGTCATTCGCCCACCGGCGGCGTTTGGTGCGCCAACCCGAGACGGGGTAGAAAGGAGCCACAACCATTGATAGGGAGGAGGAGGGGGTGGCCAGCGGAGGCGCGGTGGCCTGTGGCTGACCAGATGGCGTCCTCGGAGGTGGCCTCAGTTCCCCAGTCCCCAGCGCAGGTGGTGGCGTGGAGGGGCCGGATCTGGCCCCACGCATGGCCTCGGTCCGGCGGTGGCAATGGCGATGGGGCACCAGTGGAGAAGGTGTCCGCGTCGGCGGTATCCGCCCCCGGTGGCCGGGGGGCGCCGGTGGAGGTGCCCGACGCAGGTGGCGGTGATGGCCACGCCGCGTGCTCGACACCGTCTGGCGCTGACAGCGGAGGGGAGGAACACTCTGGCCTGCACGCCTAGCCTTGGGGCGGCTGTGGCTGGGATAGTGGCGCACTGGTGGAGGAGGCTGCCGCGATGGTGGCGTCGTCCGCCCCTGGTGGCCACATGACGTTGTACGACGCTGGCGGCAACTGTGTCCGCGTGGTGCTCTCGGGCACTCCCGCGTGAGGGCGAGGGGAGGAGGGGGGTGAATATGCGGGGAGGGGGCCAGGGGCTCCTAGGGTTGGAGGGAGCCCATGGGCCCATTTCTTGCAGTGATAACAGCAAAACATAGAAAACTATGCACATCTAGATAGCAATTGTGTAGATTTTTAATGTGTTTCAGCATTAGCTTCTAGCAGCCCCCTCCCTCTCTACATATATACCGGCATCTTCCTTTCATCATTGATTCGTTGACATGTTGTAAGGTGCAGTCCTTTTACAATGTACCATGAATTCGTGCGCAGCAGCGTTGATAGATTGTCATTTTTATCACTTAATGACAGTTTTGAAATGAATGACAAACAACAGGGATCAACACTAGGAGCTTCCTACAGGGGTTACTTAACAAAAAATTTACTGCTCCACTACATAAGGTGGGAGCGTTCCTTTCAAGAAGGATTTGAGCAGTACTAGTGCTCTCTCTGGCTGGAAATAAGGAACTTGATGACCAGCTCCCCTCACTGAAACAAGCACAAGACCTCCCAAGTACTGCTGAACATAGCCTCCAACCTGCTAGGATCCACACAAGTTTTTCGAATTTTGAATAAAAAAATGATAGAAACAAGTGTGGGACAAGATTTGAGGTGTTATTTACCTCTTTGGTTGCTGTCCAGGGGCGCCATGGCTCCATGACTGAGAGCTCGAGGTCAGTGATGGAGTACCTTGTGGCGGTGAGTGGGCAGACGGCATCGAAGTCTCCACTGAAAATCGTAATTCCCTTCGTTACATCTCCAATTGCAGTTTGCGGGTGTTAGACGTTAATAAAGAAATGTGACGTTCCAGCTACCTGCATAGCCACACCGGTAGCCCATGTCCCAGAAGCCATTTGTGTTATGAACGGCGTATAGGAATATGAAGTAAAGAATTAAGCCACAGAGTAGACACACGATTTAACGTGGAAAACCCTCCGATGTGAAAGGGAAAAACCACGGGCACCAGCCAGCAACAATCTCACTATCTCAAGAGTTTTGGGTTACACGCTTATGGCGGCTTACAAGAGAATCCAGTCTCCACGAAACCCTACCAAGGGTGTAAGCCTCCGGCGACGGGCCTTCGCTCCGCTCCGTCAGAAGCCTGGCCTATATCTTGAAGTGAATTTGAAACAACTCCAACAATTTGATGGTCGGTATCATGGACACTGGAGCATCTTTCCAGTGCAAGTCTCTGAACAGGGAACATCAGTTAAGAAGGATTGGTGGTAATAAGCGGAAAGAGTTTAATTTCCTGTTTGAATGTTTTGCTCCCATTTAAGCAATCTTACGTGCAGCCTGACCACTTTGTCGTTCTAGCATGGAAAGCCTTCTGCACCAAGGGATTGTTCATGTAAGCCTGGATATAGTAGTTGCTGCACGGATCAATTCCTGGAACCTGCATAAATAGTTAGAACAGAAATACGATTCACAGTCATGCAAAAGGAAAAGAAATACTTTCCAGAAAGTTAATATACATGTAAAGAGGCCACAGAAAGTGACTTATATTTAATATAAATAAACCAAACAAGCTACAAATAGCATCTCAACAACAATATGTAAAAGAAAAACTTTATTAGGAAAAGAAAGGAGAAAGAAATGCTCTTACATTGCTGCTGGGGTAGTAGTTTCCATTGGGCTCGTCGATGCAAACAGGAGCATATATGTGTTGTACCCACTAATGTATCCAGAATCATATGATGCCATAGCATCGGAGCACGCGTTACCATCCGCAGGACTGAACTTGCAGTTCTTTGTAATGTTGGCCCACACCTCATCTGATATCACCCCATGGCTCCACAAGTAGTCAATTTGCCCCTTTGTGTTCTTGTTATCGTCCAGATACGGATTGCCAACCTGAAATTTTGTTTTGAGATGCCTCAGCTGTTGCAATGAAATATGTCTATCAGGATATTCACTAATCATTGAGGAGTCTTCAGTCTCCACTCACCAATATAGCCTGAAGATTTATGATATTGCTTTTACTCTTTATATTGTGACTAAGGATGGCTGTTGCGAGCTGCGGAACGTAGTGTCCGGCATAGCTCTCCCCGGAGATGTAAAAGGCGCGTGCTTTGTACTCAGGGAACCTCTGGATCCAATTGATCAGGAAAACGAATGCATCATCTGAAGATGTGTTGGAGTACGAGAATCCAACACCGGCATGTGACTCCAGGAAGAGCACGTTGGCCTCTGCAAATTTTCATCACAATGGAACAAGAGTTGCTCCTACTTAATAAACCGTGTCAAGTTTTACTAGACCCAATCAGAAATAAACAAGAACACTGGCACTGATGTTATAGCTAGTATCACCGCTGTTCCAGGCGTTCTCGTTTCTACTCAGGGTTTTGTTGTCGCTGTTTATGCCGAACGGGCCAATTTCTATCATTGCTCCGTAGCCTACTGATGAGCAACCAGGGCCTGTAATGTATCACATCAAGATTCAGAAACTATCAAACAAAGCAGGCGTCAACATGAGCTAGTGTTCATGCTGTTCTTGTCTACTGCAAATTTCAGCAAAGACATGTGCCAGCCAGCAGCCGGGCTATAGCCCTAACCTCCGTTAAGCCTCAGGAGCAACGGCTTTGCCGCAGCATCGTGCATCGCTTCCACGAAGTAGTAGAAGAGCGCACGGCCGTTCTTCTCGTCGACAGTCACGTACCCGCTGTACTGGTTGAAGCCGACGCCGCCGGCCGGCTGGCCGGGCAGCGCTGTAATCTTGTCGGCCGCCTTCTGAGCGTTCTGGTCAGTACCAGAGTACTCTGATTTGAGGCTAGTGGCCGTGAAGGCCAGCTCGTCATGTGCACTGAACGCACTACCACTGCTCCTTCTGGACAGGATAAATTCCCTTAGCCAAGCCTCTTGTGACGAATTTGCGTGCGATCCCGCCAAGCAGACGAGAAGAAAAAAGAGGCAGACGGAGGTGTCCCTCATATTTTTCTGAGGATTATCGACTGATAAAGCTTAGTCGTTGCGAAGATAACCAAGATCTGGCAGCTGTTTATATATGTCAAGATAGCCAAGATCTGGCAGCTGTTTATATAGGTCCGCCCGTCCGGGGTATAATACCGGGAATGTTTGAAAGTATTGAGCATATAAAAAAAATGATCATTACCATTTCTTAGATCTGGAAAAGGTTTCGTATGCCCATGCTGAATTAACTACACCATTCGGCGGCTGAACCTTGTCGAGTTCCATACAAGCTTAACGAAGCATACAATTAAGAACAAAACATATTTTTGGCTTGTAGTACTAGTTTCTTGTAAATTTATCCACGGTTATCGATTCATGATTGTCATTATGTTTGTGAGAACAGTGTCCCAGAAAGTTCCAGTTTTATGTATAGTGGAATTCTTGAGCAGGAATTGTCGGTGCAGAAAGTGATAAACACGTAAATATTTGTAGTTTTACCGTATGTTGTGATCGGATATGGCCTAGCAGTCAATGACACATGGTTTATACTGATTAAGGTAACGTGCCCTACGTCCAGTTTAAGTCGGTTGTTGACTTTATTTCGGAGCCCAGGTGCTCGAAGTTTGCAGTGAGGTTACAAACGAGAAGGAGAAAGATGGAGGTACAAGAGGTCCGGTCGGACTCTGGTCTGAAGGACCGAGAGAGACAGAGCTCTGCTATGTGCTAAGTGTTCAAGCGTGTGCTCGAGTTCTGAACCTGGTGGTTTTATTGTGGTGTGTTTAATCGATCGTAAGTTGTTGAAATTTTTGGGAGAAAACACATTCATTTTTATAGATGAAGGGGATGGTCTTACAAGAGAGACAGAGAGAGTACGTGTGCTAAGTCTTGTTGTCCACGCCGTCGGGTACAAGATGATTGTAGGCGCCCACAACACTGTTAATGTCAGATGCATGTGGGAGGTTGTGTCGTCTTCTTTCGGTATGGCAGATGTCAGTGCCTGCTACACTGTTGATGCCCAGAGGCATGTAGGGGGTTTTACCGTGCTCGCCTGGTAGGGTAAATGACGGCGCCCACAACACTGTTGATGCCCAGAGGCATGTGGGGGGGCTTACCGTATTCGTCTGGTATGGGAGTTGATGGCACCCACAACATTGTGGGGCAAATATCGGCGCCCACAATACTGCTTGGGTTATGACATGCCAGGAAGGTTGCAGGGTACTGTCCTGTAGGTGTACATGGTACGGTCCTCGGTATTGCGGTTGACTTGAGTGCCCTGCCTTACTTGTTCCGTCTGTTTCCTGGTCCTCACCGAGCGGGCGTCCCCGGTCGGTTGGTCCCAGTCGGCTCTGATTACGCCAGTTGGAGAAGAGTTGTAAGCAGGGGTTCGGCGCATCCCCGGTCAGAGACGAGGGTCGGAGTTGAAGTGGTGTTTAGTCAAGCCTTCCGGTCGGAGAGGCCATCTAGAAGTGGGCCAGAGTCGGAAGCGAGCGCTTTGGTCGGAGAGGCGGGCCAGAGTCGGAAGTGGGCGCCGTTCCTCTGCGTGGCCAGGCCTTCCGGTCGGAGATTGTATCGCCCCTCTGGCCTGTCGTTTAGGTATTTGGGCTGGCCTAGGAGTTGTGCGTCATTCGCAACGTTGTCTGCTGAGCTGAGCCTTTGTTGGGAAGCCGGTCAACGAGGGAGCCCGAGTTTATGAACCCGACAGGAGCCCCCAAGCCCCGGGCGATTCGGGCAAAATCGTCTGGGGGTTTTTTCGTGTTGCCAGCGGGGGAAGTTCTATTTCATCAGCGGGTTCATGCGAGCGCACCCGTGGGTGTAGCCCCTGAGCCCCGGGCGATTTGGGCAGAATCGCCTAGGGGGTTTAGTCAGCGGGCGTGAATGTGTGCACTTTGGTCGAGTCGGAGTTGGTCGCAGGGATCGGGATCAGGTGAGATGGGCTCACGGACCCTAGCGTTGGGCGCATCCGAGGGATTGGGCGAGACGGACTCGTGGACCAGCCGTGGACAACAGAGGCAGTTTTTAGGGATCGGGCGAGGAGAGCTCGCGGATCCTAGCGTCGGGCGCAGCCGAGGGATTGAATGAGACAGAGTCGTGGATGCCAAGGGATCGAACGAGATGGAGTCGTGGATCTAGGTGTCGGGTGAGCCGGGGGATCGGACGAGTCAGAGTCGTAGATCTAGGCGTCGGGTACGTCGAGGGATCGGGTGAGTCGGAGTCACGGATCCAGGCGTTGGGTGCGCCGGGGGATCAGGCGAGTCAGAGTCGCAGATCCAGGCGTCGGGAGCGCCGGGGATCGAGCGAGTCGGAGTCGCGGTCTCGGGCGCAGCCGAGGAGTTTGGGTGTTTTGAGCCCCTGAGCCCCGTTGGGCCTGGTAGGGGTCGGTTGAGTTTTGTGCGTTACCCCGTCCGCGGTTTTCTCGCAACCGGAGGGGCTGAGCTAACGTCGCTTGCAGCGATGGCTCGGGCTCGAGTGACGCGCTCGGTGAGCTCGCTAACGGGCATGTTCGAGTGAAGTCCGGGTCCATCGTTCATGATGGGGTTGACATAGCCCTCATATGGCACTCCACTGCTCCTTAACCTGCAACCCGGCAGATGCCTTGGTCGTTCCAGAGACCGACCCAGGTGGCCCGCTGGCCTCCCCTTGATGGAGATTCTGTGGGTTTGGCGGGAGGTTAGGATCGAACGAGAAGGTTCTCCCCTGGCTCTGTTTGATGCGAGGCGTCCTTGAGCCCTTCGTGGGCCGGCCTTTGAACCCCGATCGGTCGTTGCTCATGTTTGAATGAGGCAACTGCCGCTTCGTGATGCAACACGGAGCGTTGTGATGCATTTAACTGCATATGCGATGCTTTTGGATGTATGGAATGAATGAATGCGTGCATGGATGAATGAATGCCCATATAAAGAAATAGTGAGGGTCGATAATGTTACCTTGATGGCTCGAGTGACGGGTTTGAGGAGCTCCAATCGAAAATGTCCGACCGGGATCCGTGCTCGTCGTTCGTGATGGAGTCGGCATGGCCCACATGGGGCGTCCCTTTGCTCCGTGTTCTTTTCCCCTTTGCTCTCCTATTTTTGTTTTTGAGTCGCCTGTTTTGTAGGGACTTGGAGTTTACAAGTCCCGTCTGCACCTTCTGAAGGGGCCTGAGGGCGCAGCCCGGCATGCCGCCTAGAAGGAGGCGGCGGTTGAGAGGAAGAAGAAGAAAGCCAAGGAGGCTCAGCGGAAGCACGAGAAGGAGATGGAGATTGCCCGGCGCGTGCGGGCTGAGGAAAACAGGAGTGACGTCGAGTCAGAGCTCGAGTCAAGGGACCCCATAGAGGTGGGTGATGACATGATCTTCTCCATGGAGGAGGAAAACCCGGGAGGTCGTTGCGGCCTCGGCGGAGCATCGTGATCCTATGACCGCGTCCGCAAGTGGTAAGCAGGAGGTAGAGAGGCGCGGCGATGTTCCCACGTCGAGGAAGCGTGCCGCGAGCGCGGATGCTGTCGGCGAACGGGAGGCGAAGCGGACGCGGTCACCGTGCCCTTCTGAGGCATTGCCGGTCTTGTCCCCACCTGCTGAGGTATGGCAGATGTCGGTGCCTGCTACACTGTTGATGCCCAGAGGCATGTAGGGGGTTTTATCGTGCTTGCTTGGTAGGATAAATGCCAGCGCCCACAACACTGTTGTTGCCCAGAGGTATGTGGGGAGGGCCTTACCGTGTTCGTCTAGTATGGGAGTTGATGGCGCCCACAACACTGTAGGGCAAATGTCAGCGCCCACAATATTGCTTGGGTTCTGACATGCCAGGAAGGTTGCAGGGTACTGTCCTATAGGTGTACAGGGTACGGTCTTCGGTATTGCGGTTGACTTCAGTGCCCTGCTTTACTTGTTCCGTCTGTTTCCTGGTCCTCACCGAGCGGACGTCCCCGGTCGGTTGGTCCCAGTTGGCTCTGATTACGCCAGTCGGAAAAGAGCTGTAAGCAGGGGTTCGCCGCGTCCCCGGTCGGAGACGCGGGTCGGAGTCGGAAGTGGTGTTTGGTCAAGCCTTCCGGTCGGAGAGGCTGTCCGGAGGTAGGCCAGAGTCGGAAGCGAGTGCTTCGGTCGGAGAGGCGGGCCGAAGTCGGAAGCGGACGCAGTTCCTCCTCGGCCAGGCCTTCCGGTCGGAGATTGGATAGCCCCTCTGACCTGTCGTTTATGTATTTGGGCCGACCCAGGAGTTACGCGTCATTCGCAACGTTGTCTGCTGGGTCGAACCTTTGTTGGGAAACCGGTCTATGAGAGACCCCGGGTTTATGAACCGAATAGTCCCCATTTGAAAATAAAACACGATTAGTCCTAACTTTCCCAAGAAGACGATGGTCATCATATGAGCGTACTCCATAACCATTGAACCGTAAACTAATTGGTAATATAACAAACTTCAGATCCATATCAAAAGATTCGCACACTAAGTCCTGAACAGTTTTGTGTTTATCATTGTCCTTACCTGAACATATTCTGGAGATATGTGCACTTGATTGTTTTTAACAACATGTGCAAATTTAGGCTGTATTTAGTTCGCGAAATTGGGCTACTGTAGCATTTTCGTTTTTATTTAGCAATTAGTGTTTAATCATAGACTAATTAGGCTCAAAACGTTTGTCTCGCGATTTCCAACCAAACTGTGCAATTATTTTTTTTTTCGTCTATATTTAATGTTCCATGCACGTATCACAAGATTTGATGTGATGGCTACTGTAGCACTTGTTGGGAAACTTTTTGGAAACTAAACAGGACCTTATATAGACAATTGATTTGATGAGACAATTAGTCACACATTTATGTGTTACAGTAATCTCTATTATTGAAGGCAGATTGATTGCCCGCAGGCATATGTAACTCATTCTCTTCTCCTTGATAAAATATCGGTATACACCCAGTGACGGGAACCAGAAATTTTGAGTAAGGGGGAGGCTAAACATGGTTGATCCCATCAAAATATATTCTATACTTTTTTAAAAGAATTGTAGTCACGATTTTTAAGATTCTCAAAGGTAACTACTAA